CCTTGATACCTCGGAATTTGATATAACAAGGCATCCCTGAAAAATATTCAGGCTTTCTAAGAGTCCTTACAAACTCTCCCAAGCAACTGGAGGCAGTTGGTTGATTTGGAACAGCACTACGCAACTTTGAGAGATATCAGGGCAGTTGTCATCAAGCATCAGCACAGCAATTACAAACAGGGTGAAATATCCGACTTTTATAAACCCCTGTTAAAAAAAACCCAGACGAAATCTTCCTTCCACCAGTTGTGAAGCCTCCATAAGTCTACTTGCAGCATCTGGATACTCTTCCTCAGACACCAATTCCAGCAGTGCCAGCTTCCTTCCCATTACCCCAGAACCCCCACGACAGTTGATGTCTTCAGACAGTGAATAATTTATTTATAAATTAATCTTTAATTTCTAAGTTAATAACTTGGTGTATTCAAATAATCTTTAATTTTTAAGTGAATGATTTATTGTTCAAGTGACCATTCAAAATGTATTTAATTTTTAATTGATAAAGTAGTGTTTAAGTGGTGTACAGTATTTACCAAAGTGCATTAAGCCCTCCTACAATCACCTCTGTCACCTACCACATGGTACCATAAGCTTGAATCATCATTTTTCTTGGCCTGCAGTGCTGTTAAGTGTTAATTCTTAACGTGTTTTTTTTTTAAATTCAAACAACAGTAGTGTTAAGTAGTTTATTTGTGCCAAAAAAGTTGTGATTTGTGAGTGGGAGAAAATTACCTCAATAACTCGGCATGGCTTTAGCCCCAAATGTTCCGAGTCATTGAGGTATTACTGTATATTTAATTAATTATACTTATTGCAGGTTGATTTTTAGATTCACTCTTAAGTACATAGTTTGCTTTCATCAGAAGATAATACTAATGGCTTCTTTACAAACTTTACAACTAATTCTACATTCAATTGACTGTTTTTAGTCAAAATAGTTAATAAATCCTTGAGTCCCAAAGATATGCTCTTAATTGCTCACACCACTAGGAAGTTATCCAGTGTAGTCTCCTTAATAGATGCTTAAAGAGCTGAGAAAATACAGCTGACTGAAACAGCAACAGTTATATTGTATTTAATAAATGCACGAAATAACCTAGGTCATATATGATATGATGGTTTATTTGTTTGTTGTTAAATTCAAAACTACACAATGAGATATCTAGGCTGTGCCCACCACAGGTATCAAAACTCAATTTTTAGCATTAAAAGCTCTCACACTTAGTGCTGAGACACTAGGGGCTAAGATGTGATGGAAGACCAAGAAAACAGTTCTGAACTTGCTGGGCCAAATATTATTAATAAAAAAAAAGCATATAATACTAGAATTAACTGAATATAGATAAATGTCAAACTCTAATGAAACATCCTATATATCCATTTAGAAAATGTCAAACTCGCTGCATGATATTCAAGCAGATAAACATGAGGGCATCAACTGAGTAAAACTTAAAAGATGTAACAACTGAAAACAAATAATGGCAGTGTGTGTGTTAGGTATCAGAAGAGAAGACCTAGAAGAAGATAGCTGCTTCTATGCCCAGTTAATGCCCTCATGGAAATGGTAAGTATAACTATTGCAAAAACTTGCTACTGACACCTTATTGTAACAAGTATATGATGATGATGATAGCAGATCATTTCCTCAAATGAATGAAAGCCTAGATTTGTCATATAATGCTTCAATGACAATACCCGGCACTCTCACTGAATAATGCTCAAACAGGTTTGAGATTAGTTTGTTGATAACTGAATGTATTACATGATGGACATAGGTAAAATTTCAGCAATTAAAGTACCACATCCTGTACAATGGATTAGTGAAGCAAATTAGCAAAACTGTATAAAACATTCTGATAAGGTTTATGGAAAAGGATAGTAAATGCCAGGACAAGCACTTGCCCAACTTCTTGATGAGTTCTAAAATCATAGAACAACAATCCATAAGCTGTTTACCAAATCTGATAATAACATGGTTAATAAAATCTTATAATTAACAAAATTATGTCTGAAAATATCATAACAGCAAGCATCCTCAACTGATGAAAAAAAATACATTTTTATCTTTATTAGTAGAAATGTAAGAAAAATGTATTTAATTACCTATACTGATTGCCAGATTGATTTTTAGTTTCTACTAAGTACATAGCTTCCTCTGACCATAAGTTAATGTTAATTAAAATACTTTACAGTCAACATATAAAAGTCTATAATTTCAGAGCCCTCCAGCAACATAAAAGTGATTCAGTTATGGATGATTCACATCATATTCTCAGAGTAACATAGTCCCTCACTTGATAATTCAAAGATCTTGAATTTTCAGGGAATACATTTTGCATGTTGACAATAAGAAAATGTACAAGTAGAGCTGTCCAAGAATTACCTGGAAAGGAAAGTACCAATAAAGAGAATGAACTCCTCCTACTAGAAGTTCAGAGAAAGAAAATTCCGCACACTGGAAGATACACGAGACAACTATCACAGGATGACTGATAATAACTAGTATCTATGAACAAGTACAATTCACAGAAAAAGTCCACAACATAATTATAATAGAGATTATTGTATCAATTAGTAATAAACCTAATGACATCCACAATTTAAACTTGTATGTCTCACCATTCATCCAATTCTTGCCAGCAAAAGAAAGATCACCATGTGGTATCAAACAACACCAAATGTGATAATAAAAACATCACCATGTGCTATAGAACCACATCAAATGTGATAATAAAAACATCACCATGTGCTTTAGAACCACACCAAATGTGATAATAAAAACATCATGCTACAGAACCACACCAAATGTGATAAAGAAAGGTCACCATGTGCTACAGAACCACGCCAAATGTGATAAAGAAAGATCACCATGTGCTACAGAACCACACCAAATGTGATAAACAAATAGACCATAAACTGTTACATACAGAAGCTACAATACAACATGCTAATCAAATTTATTTCTTAGCACCCAAAATACTGGAGTCATACATTTGAATTATTCTATAACAAAAAGAAAAATCACTACAATATATTCTATGTTATATGAACTAGTGAATCATCTCAATTTCAGTTAAATAACATACAAATTTATCAATGCTAAGAAACACTCACAGATGTAAAAACTTACAGGGAAAAACAACATTTTCAACATTTAATGAATGAGTGCAGTTCTGCAAGATGTGAGAAGAAAAACTTTGATAAAAGATAATAAAGAATAAATAGACACATCTAAATGAATACTTTTTCTAGTTCATTTTCTGAGATGTTTCAAGCAGACACTCCTCATCAGGCAGTAAAGGCCCTGTTAAAATTGAATCAATTCAGTTGTAACACAGTCTTTACTGCCCGATGAAGGGAGTCTGCTCAAAACATCATAGAAAATAAACTAAAATAGGTTTTAATTTAGAGGTTTATATTTATTTTTTATTATCTTTTATCAAAGTTTCAAAATTACTGACTATGAACACATTACAGATAGAAGTGAAATTTAGCCATACTTGTAGAAATACTATGTTAACCTTTTGTATATAATACTTAGAAACATAAGTAACAAAATTGAGATTTTTAAACACAGAAAAGTACTCGATATTTTGTCTTCAGTTCTTTTACAGACAAAAGTATTATAGTTTTGTTTGATTGTAAAATCCTCGTGGAAATTGTTGACTATGACTGACATAATTTAAAAGAAAGCTTCATTATATAAAGTTTTGAAAGCATTAAAAAATATGGAAAAAACTAAGAGACTTCAAGGAGCAGTACTTCATAGATGCAAAATTCAAGCAAAACTAAAAACAAAGGAAGGTGGAGAAAAACATGTTTTATGAGTAAGTATGGGTATATGTATAATTAAAAAATAACCATAAATGTGAAAAGTAAAAGACACAGTAAATTAAATGTACAGCAAATCAATAAAATGATAAAAGCCATAAAAAGTGCTACATATCTATAAATAAAAAGACAAGATCATTTAAATTGTAATAGAGGTATATCAACCACAAAACACACACACAAAATGAGCAGTTCCTGATAACAAAATTTTGTAAATTGAAACCTGACAGGAAGTTTAAATTAATTCTTAGCAACTTTATTATATATATAGATAGGCTTATAAATTTACAAAGAGTGAATTGGATAAAAACTTAAAAAGATTTTAAAGTCATATAAGAACATAAATTATTTGGTCCAAGAATTGTGTAATTTTTTCTCTAAGAAATGAGCATGTGGTGTCCAAGTAAAACACCTGTCAAAGGTAACACCAAGAAACTTAATGGTTTTAGTAAAAAGATAGGGAGTATTATACATAAAACAGTGAATGAAGAGAACAAAATTAAAGAAAATAATAGAATGGGAAAAAAGATGAACAATGACAACTATATAAGTTCACTGAAACTATCCAACAGACATGTTTATTATTGTATGATTTGTATTTTTCAAAGTAGTAAAATGTCCATAAGTTTTAATGTTGTCAAAATACTAATTTGAAGAAGATGATTTCAGCATATTCAAGTAATGTCCCTCCCTATAGCTTTTAATAATTTTTAAGACAGTAACTTCAAACCTAAATTAACCTTAAAAAGTGACAACTGCACAAATTTCCATGAACTATGAGATTAAGAACACTAAAAATGTTTTCCATCAGTTTTAATGAAAACATATGTATACCAGCAGAAATACATTGCTCTCTCATCATATGTTTATCAATATAGTTTGAGACATATTTTACCATAAATATGTAGTTGTGCCTACAATTTAAATTATGTTAAACTCAGCAGATTTAATCTTTGCTTGAAAAATTTGTAACATCAAATCCAGGTATTCTTTTACCCTCTTACATTGACACCTTTCATAATGCTCTATGCTTGAAATTGTTAGTTTTTACAAAAACTGTTGCCAGGAAACATTAAAAGCAGTCTCAGTTTACGGTTACATAAATGGTTTTAAATATAACATGAAAGTATACAATACTCAAGTGAAAAAATACATCTCAAACTACTTACCAGGGTAAGGTGAAGTTGTTTTCCCAGCGATACCTCATCTCCAGTACAAACTCATGCCACAAATGAGCAACAGCTGCAATACCACCATAACTATGGTTCACTTGACACATAGCAAGAGCTAGCCTCCAGGTCAAGCTATCAGGTGGTGCTGATTTAAATGATCGAATGTGATCCTGATGGTATAGAAAAATATAGGATATTGAAAAACTACTTGTTTGTTCTTGTCAACAACAACAAAATAAATAAATACAATATTCTGTGATCAAGAACTAAAAAATTATCTAAATTTGTTATAGAATAACAAATTTAGATAATTTTTAATTATCTAAATTTTAGATAATTTAGATAGACTACAGGTAATTTATTCCATCAAAAACTAAAAATACACAAAACTCATCAGCTCTGGGAATATAAGTTTAACTTATATTAATTTATCCTTAATTTAATAAGAATTGGAATTTTAAACCTGAGTGACATTTTATACACACATGGGCTAAATGGCTCAGACAACAGACCCCAAGGATTCAGGTACTGGCATTTCTGATGACCAGAGGGAAGGCAGCTATCCAGTGCACTCACCACCATAAGGGATTTTTATGACTCTTTTAAACAAATAACAGTGCTTTTATAATGCACCCACAAGTAAAATGTGTCAATGATTTTAAATGGCATCACTTTTCAAACCACAGATCTTTCGACCCACATCCTGACATACTAATCACTAGGCTCAGACTAGGCCCCTTACAGTAATATAAAAATGAAATAGAAAGTTAATTATCTTACATCTAGCTCAGCAGGAAGCATTTCTTTTTCTTCCACACAGTTTTGAAAATCATCATTCTTCTCACTCCCCTGTAGAAGAGAGAAGTTTGTTACTATTCTACATGGTATCAGAACAATTCACAATCTATGAAAATTGAGAATATATATAAATTCAGTATCTCTTAAGTGGTTGTTTCTTTTAGTTACCAAAATCATCTCTTAATAAAGTCATTAAAACCTATTTAGTAGAAAAACTACAGTATAAAATTATTTCCATTACCTATTTACTTGGTCAGTAAAAGAAGCTAAAATACAGATTTACTATCCTAAGTTTCATTATTTTAATATATAATTACTTGGTTATAAGATAGAACTAAAGGACAGATTTACTATTTTTTGAGGTTTATGATTTCTTACTTGGTCACCAGTCAAAGTTGATACAGAATTTGGGAACAAGAAGATCAGGATTTTATCAAGAAGACTGTCATCAATCAAAGAAACTTCACTTTTCTTATGCAAGTTGGGTCGAGCTTTAGACACAACAGCAGAAAGATTTGGTAAAGTTACAGGAATAGGATGTGGTCTGGCAAGTTTGTTTAAGGCTTGGCTAATCTCATTAGAATCTAAAAGTACCAAAACATAAACAAACAGGAAAATTAAGCATGGTTTTATTACAACTGCAAATTTTTTTTAATAATAGCATTGAAACATTCAATAATCAGACATTTAAGACAAAGGGTAAAGTGATCGATACTCTACACCAAGGGTGGTAAACTGGTATCATGTAAGCCATATACAGCTCTTTGGTAGTTGCAATGTAGCTCTATGAGTGTTTCTAATTTCTGAGTAGGCAATAATGATTTTATCTGTTTTTATTTATTTGTACAAATTTAACATGATAGAACAGCATTCCCCATCAACCACGTGACTGTTAAGCGGAAACACTGATGTAATGAAAGTTTAAAGTATAACATATCTGCAAGAATGCTTAATACTGCTTAATATTTTTGAAAGCTGTATCTTTTTGGTTCTTGAACTTTAAAAGGTTAGCTACACATGCTCTAAACTAATTCACCCAACAAGAGAAATATAATGACAGTGTAAAGAAAAAGAAGCAAGACAAAATCAAGTGATGTGATGGGTAATGAATGCTGTAGACTAGATCATTTGTAAAATTATTTTTATCATTTGCCCATACATTGGTTATCATTATCATAAAAAATGTAACAGTAAAAAAAGCATATACAGTACATCTTCTCAAAACTTTAATTTAACTGACACACCATCAAATTCTTCTCCAGGCAGTTTTCCTAGCAGCTGTTGCTGTGATTCTTTACGATGACAAAGTGCAACAAATTCTTCTAAAAATTCACCTAAAAAAAGACAACTTATGTTGGAAACTTCAAATTATCCAATAGTTAAAATGAAACTTTTAATAACACTATACAGGTAGGTTTAGTGTGAGTAATGCATATGCTATTTGTCTTATTAAATAGCCATATAATGTTAACATAGATGGTAATACTTTAAATTTCTATTTTATTCAGTTCATATTTGAAAACAAGTTTTAACACATAAATTATTTTACTGATAGTTTATTAATGAAGCTCAGAACAGTGTTATGCACTAAAGTCAAATTACACACTTGAAATATATTCAAATATAAGAAAATAATGCCAAAGTAAAAATCTGTAAAATGAAAAATGCATAAAATATTGTATCTAAGAAAAGTAAATAATAAACATTACCCTTTAAATAATATGAATGTTAAAAAAAGGTATAATTTTAAAATTATACTATCACATTTACTCTTTCAGCATGGGCTCGGTCCCTGGGACTGACTTCATAACCATTTTGTGCTTGTTATAGCTTTCATGCTATAACTTTTAAATTAGTAAGTGAATGTTAATGAAATTTGTCAGTTTATCAGTAAACATTACAATACTTTCATACACAAAATATATAATTTTTTTCATTAAGTCTTAAGGTTTGTAAGGCAATGTTTCTCTCATGCCTTTTTTTTTACTTTTCACATCTTGCCTATCTATCATGCAAAATAATTTTCAGTTTAAAATTAAAAATACTTTTGTATATCAGAAAATTTCAAATTTCACATGCAAAATCTTTAT